ACCCCTTGACATTCAATAGCATTACCTTTGCTGAATCCAGAGTTTTCATCTCCAGGCATTTCGCTATCTGTTTTCCACTTTCTGCTCATCTGGCTTTCGGGTGTAGTTCCATCTCAAAATGCTTGGCTACCCTTTTTAATTCTTCCAAAGACAACACCTTAATTTTTCAAAAGTTACTTTGTCCGGCTTTATGAAAGCATTATCATCAAATGCAGATGTCTTAGTACTTTTAATATTAGAGACACAAGATGCAGTTTTTTAAGCAGTTTTTCAAGAAACAAGTTATGTTTGTCCTCTCCAATTCTGTTGATTGCCTGTGGAAATGTGTTGGCTAAATTTCCAAATTTGTTAGACCAGGTGAGGAGGGGTAAGTCAGAGTTCCACTTTGAACCCCCTCTAAGTCGGTTTCAATTTTTATTACTTTATAGCATAGAGCTATTACACTTCAATTAAAATGACGTACCATTCAATTAATTATCAATTATATTGTTTTCTTGAGTAGAGGAAAGATAAATTTTATTACTTATCAATGCTAAGAAAATAATCAAACATGACATCAAGCATGCAAATACAGGTATAATTTTTACAAAGGTGAGATTGTGAGATACAGATGATGAGCGTGAGAAACAGATGAAAAGAATAAAGGTTAATGCAACGTAAAAGTATTTTGTGGTGTTAGGTTTCACCTTGAATTCCAGTTGTTTAATTGCTGACTTGAATGCTCAGCAGTAACAAAATCTGTAGATATCTTTGAGTTTTTGGCAAATAGTTATTAGTCCAGTTCACTGTTTCACTGGTGATAATGAGGAGGAAGCAGGGAGAGAGAACTTTCCAGTTCTTGCTGTTTCTAATCCATATTTCTTTCCCTCTCATACTCAGAAAACAATCAGCTACTGAAGTACAACTCTTTTGTTTATTCCCATGTCTAGCTTTATCATTTTCATGCAAGCTGGATAACCTGCACACAACCATTGATCTCTATCTAATATGTTCCACTTATCAGGCACGTGCAAACTGAAACAGGAGATGACAGTTTCTTGATGCTGAATCAATGACTAGTTTAAATATCTTTAGATAAAATGATAATTTCAGACCAGACCATTTAATTTATTCCATATTGCTTTCCTGAAATTGTCTCAATTTGTGATCAGATGATCACTGCAGCCATTTTATGTTACTATTTGCAGTTTTTAAACATTTTTTTATTCCATGAAAGTCTCAAGTATTAAATTCAGATGATAGATTTTGAATATTCATACTTCATGTTTTACCACAATTATGTCAGCTTTTAGGAAGTCTTTTGAACTATTCTATTGCTTTCAGAGAGGCTCTGGAATTTTGCAAGGGATCCAGTGGAGTGTATTAATATTTGCAGCTGTATCCCACATGGAACAGTTTGAAATCCTCAGTTTTGCACCATGAATATTCTCTAGTGACCTCCCTCTGCATTTTCATGGAAGCAGCAAAAGGACTATTCATTGTCAATGTTTTTCTCAAAATAGATGTGTCCTTTGAACACCATCAGTTCTATTTAAATGTAGGTTGTAAAACCTCTGTTTGACAAATAGAATGACTGGGTGTCACAGTCATTTAGATGCTAGTTTTTTACTCCAGGAATCTGGTCTCAATTCCATTGGAATGATTTGATATTGTCTCTGCTGTTTGCTGATTGTGAGATTTCTATGTGAAAAGAGTTTTGATATCCTCAACTCAGCTTTTTGGGAGTCAATCCCCTTCAGCAACTCATTCATATGGTGCACGAAGGAGTCATATCTGAGGCATAGGGTATGAATGTATGGGTGAAGAATCTTTGCTAGCCCTTGAATATCAGTAAGGTTCTGCTAACTTTACTGTAGCTTAGTGATCTGATTCTAGAAAGAAGAAATGGTACAGCTAAAGTAATAAGCCATGTTATTTCAGTAAAAAGAATATGAGTTTGCAAAATAAATGCAGGAGCTCTGAAATTAAACCGAAAATGACTTTCAGAAGATGATTTCACACCCAAAACATTGAAAGCTATTTTCCCTTTGCAGGTGGTGACTCACTCACTGTTTGACTCCAGTCTTTCTGCTGTTGAATGTGCCACACCTGGCCGAGGAGCATTTGGCGTTGGCAATGGGTGTGGGATATTACAACATATTCGATACCCAGCAATGACTTATTTTCTCCTCCCAAAGAGTACTTTTTAATTTTTGCTTTCTTTCTGTTGTTTAACAATTTCTCATGCTGGTTACATACGTTATATATATATGCCCTTTAGTGTACATGAGTGTGCGCAATTTCTGATACCTGCTGCCCTTTCTGACCATGTGCCTGGGGCCGCACTCTCACCCTGAGAGGTATGATTGTTACTAATTGCTATAATCTAGGTTATCAGGGTTGTGAGCAGTTTCATTGTCTATTTTAGCTGACCCTGTATAATAGCTCTAAAGAATAAATTCTCACGTCTGTAAATTACAGATAATCCACCCCTTTTCACCTACTGCTGTGAGGTCACTTAATGCCTTTGAAAGTCCAACATCTATTACAGGCCAGAATATGATACATGGTCCATTTAGCAAGTAGCTCTTAGCCAACAAGGTGCAGTAACTCATCTGAAATGAATCAGCAATGGAATGAGACCAGAACCTTGAACTAACATAGAAATTGTTAAGCTACACCTCAATAAAAGGGCGATATCTATGAACGAAAGAAACTAGATACCAGTGAGAAAATATTTCTACGGTTTTTGTATCACTTTCCATTAAAAACAAACTACATAGACATATCGAAGTGCTTTACAGCCAATGAATTAATTTCAAAGTGCAGTCACTGTTGTAATCTAGAATACATGGCAATCAATGCACAGAAAGATCCCAAGAATGGTAATGTGATCATAATCTGATTTTTTGTTTGAGTAAAGTTGAAAGCTAATTCTTGGTCAGAACAATGGTGAGCACTGGGCTGATTTCCTGCCCTTTTACATACATCTAAAGGAGAAGGTGAGACCTTGCTTTAACATCTTGTTTGCAAATGACACTTTTGACAGTGCAGCGCTCTCTCAATATCACATTGGAGCAGCAGCCTGAATTTTGTGCTCATCACTGAATCAAAGACTTTCTGTCTTCAAGGCAGCTGTACTGCCATTGAGGCACATCATGTCAATTCATTCAGAGCCTGAAGTGTGTAATGAGGAGTGTTGGCTTTTCTATTAAGATTAATCTACAACAAGCTGAATGGCTTCCATCACCTTCTATCATGGAATTTTGCATTGGAGTATGGGAAATACACAGTATGGAAACAGGCCATTCAGCCTACTTATTTCATGTTAGTCCTCATTCCAGTATCTTCCAACACAACTTGATTTAACCTATCGATATAACTTTCCATTTCTTTCTCTGGAATGTGTTAATCCATCTTCTTCTTAATTACATCCTTTTGTTTTGCTTCAAAAGCTCCTAGTGGTAGCAAGTTCCACATTCTAACTACCCTCTGGTAAAAGTCTTTTCTCCCAAATTTCCAATGAGGTTTGCTATTCGCTATCTTATATTTGCTGCTTCTGGTTTTGGTCCACTCTCACTCCCAATATGGTAGAAACATTGGGTGGAATCTTATATGGTCCTGTGTGACCTGGGCTATGGCAAAATTTCTGGCAGAATTGGGCAAGAAGTTCTTTAAGGCCCATCTCAATGTCGGCAACATTTCTCAGTATCTCCCGTGCATTGGCCAACTGGTGAGGTGAATTTGAAGAAAACGTAGAGATGGTCATTGACCTTTTTCTGCCATCACTGTGTATTCCTCCAGAGGGCTGACACCACACTGACCTGGGAGGCATCCTCAGACCATCCTAGCACGTTCTGGTGTCATGTCCTCACATCTGATCTTGTGGAAGAGGATGTCTGTCGCCCCCTGCCCGGCAGGACCTCCGGAACCCTGTCTGAAAACTGGGAGCATCAATGACCACCCATCTGCCACGCTCCGAACAAATTTCAGTAACCTTGCAGGTCAGCTCCAGACTGACTGTATTTGTCCATAAGCACAATGGCATGGGCACAGTAGCCTGAGTGAGGATATCTGATCAGTGGAGTGTTGTTTCAGAATTAGTGAGCAGTGAGGCAGGAATAGAATTGGATGTGAGGAACATCACTGGAGTAAGGTAGATAGTTCATGAGGCAAGAAATGGTGAGAGATGTTGCAATAGGGTTAAAGTTAGGGTTAAGGTTAGGGCCTAGTTACCAGAATCAGGACAAAACAGTGGCTCAGTGGTTAGCACTGCTGCCTCACAGCGCCAGGGACCCAGGTTTGAATCCACCCTCGGGCGACTGTCTGTGTGGTGTTTGCACAGTCTCCCCGTGTCTGTGTGGGTTTCCTCCGGGAGCTCCGGTTTCCTCCCACAGTCCAAAGATGTGCAGGCTAGGGGGATTGACTATGCTAAATTGCCCGTAGTGTTCAGGGATGTATAGATTAGGTGGGTTATAGGGGGATGGGTCTGTGTGGGATGCTTTGAGGTTTGGTGTGGACTTGTTGGGCCAAGGGCCTGTTTCCACAATGTAGGGATTCTATGAAACAAAAATATTGAGGGCAGCTCGCACTTAAGCCAAAGAAAGTTAACATTCAGCCCATCTAATACTCCATATTAAAACATTTCTGAATCATAGCAAGCTCTACCAGCCTGTGAATTGCCCTGATTGGATGAATATACAGTAGGCAGGCCGGATGCTGATGTGAAAACGTGGGGGGAATGGGTGTTTAACTCGGAGCTTCGTTCACCAAATACCTCGTCCTGCCTTGGAACACCTCCTGAGGAATATTGTCGGGATTCCGGAAATATTGTACAGTAAGTTGACAGGGGGAGAAAAAAAAACAGCCCTGGGAATTGTGTGGGCTAAATAGGTTTCATGAGCATGCGTTAAATAAGATTTAAGGAATGTTTGTTGGGGGTGGTGGAGTGGAGAGAGAAACTAGCCCCAGAGTGAGCTTGATCTCCACTCACTTCCCTTGTCGTGACAGTACATTCACCAATAAGCCTTTCGGATCTGTAGCTGCAAACGTGCAGTCATTGTCACAGCGCCACAGTTTTGAGGGCAGCAGAGCAGAAGTTATGAGGACAAGGGGAAATCACATATTTCCGGGCTCCTCTGGGACATTTGTTCGGATACTGTACACGTCTGTGAATGGGATGGCTGCTAACCTCTCTGCCGGTGCTCAGTAACACTGTGCCTGTACAGGTTGGTTCCAGCGGGCTAACACTTTACTCTGTGGCCGTGTATCTGGGTGACTGCCCCACCGTCTGTGTTCATCCCTTAAGCGCCGTTCTCCGCTGTGGGTGGTGGGGGGAATATATTGGATCTACGATTTCTTACCTTCAGAAGATAGGGGCGAATTCGTGCAGGGGTTTGGTGAGCGTGTCAGGCTGGAAGTCTGCGTGAGCTGGGCTCTCTCTCTGGAGGTATCTGAGATGCTCGTGTTTTCATTTAAAATGTCTAACATTTCGCTCCTTCTCTCCCTCGTTTTGTTTTTAACATAACGTTCCGCAGAACTATTGGTACAGAGGGGAGGGGGGAAAAATTCCAAGTTCGGGAAATGAAATGTTTATAAATGTTGGAAAAATGACCTCGATTTTGCTTTTAAGGTTTCGACATCGGACAGATTTGAGATAGTTTTGAGAGATAATTGCTCCCTTCCAAAAATATATCTAATACAAAGTTGATTCAGTAAATTACATTCAGTAAACAATGGGATCTGTGTTGTAATTGGTAATAAACAATCGGGTTGTAAGAGAGATTTATACAATGTCTCGAAATATCAGACCTTGCTGATTAATGACCATCACGGAAAACACTTGCAATTTACAAGGTAGCAATATTTATTGAATAGAATATCATGTGGAGTTGATACAATGTTCATTGGATTTAAATGTTCATGGTTTTCCAAATGCAATGAGTCTTCCTGTTTGGTGCACATAGTTTCCCATGATTTATGATTTCATTTTCTGTGCTATTTTGCCCCTGGAACTCCGCAGAAATGAACTGGATCCGTTCTTTCCATCCTCCTCCCACCGGCGCGTCCCCGAGATTGTGGACGCGCGTTAACCTTGGAGGCGCGCCCCCCGGCTCGGCCCCGGTTCGCTTCGTTCGGGTCCGCGCTCTGTCTGCATGAGCGCAACGTGCTGGGCGTTCTGAGATCCCACAGCCCAATCACCAACATCAACCACTGCCCCTTCCCCCCCCATCACCCCTCCCCACTACCCCCTCCCTCCCTTAAACCCCCCACTCCCATTCTTCTCAGATCCCTCACTCTTTCCAAACCCCTTAACTATCCCAAACCCCAATTCTCATTAAATAACCCCACTCCCACTTCCCCCCCTCCCCATTCACTCCATTTCCCCTCCCCTCCCCCCTCTCCCCCCCCCCTCCCCCTCCACTCTCACTCTCACCCTCCCACTCCCCCTCTCCCCACTCCCCCAACTCCTACCACTCCACTCACCCCTCCACTCCACCCACCTCCTCCATTCCAGTGTCCTGAATCTGCCCCCACCACTCGCCACCCACTCTTACCCCTACTCCCCTCCCCACTCCCACACTTCGAGTCTCCTGATTCTGCACTCCCACTGCCCACCCACTCTCCCCCCAACTCCCCCACTCCCAACGCCACTCTCACTCCCACGACTCACCCTCACCATTCCACTTGCCCCCACCCCTCCACTCCCCCCAAGTCTGCCGCCCCACACCCCTCTGCTGCCCCCACTCTCCTACTCCCAGTCCCTTCCCACTCCCACGTCCCACACTCTCCAATTGCTATGTCCATAACCCGTGCCACCTAATCCCTTGGTTGTGGGCCTTCCATCATTCAAACCATCTACACTTAAGGAAAGACACTGAGCCTGGTCCTCTCCTTATTGTCCATTCCACTCCAATTTTAGTACTTAAATTTGTTATGACTTTCACCAAATAATGTAAATGGAAACAGTGTATTAGAACGGTACCCATTGTCATCTATTTGCATTGCTGGAAGGAAGCTGAATCCTTTCAGCTGGGTGTAAGCTGCTGATGTACAGTAGATGCATGTGTACTCAGAAATTTATAATCAAATTTGTTGATTGCTTCATTGTAACAGAGCTGCTGGTTAATGCCTCCCAGTCTAAACACCCCACATCCAACCTCACCCTAGATTCGACGATTTCAACCTTCAAAATATCCACCTTCCTCTGCTCACTCCATCACACCCAATTCTGCCACACACACCTCGGTTAACATCCAATCTGTATTCCTGAGTTCCATATTCCACAGGCGATCCAAAATCACCCAGACGCCTGTAACCCACATCCTTGTGTACGAAGTGCTGCTAATTCACAAGCTTATACTGCTGCTCTCTGTAAGAGCCCATTCCATCATGACATTAAGTTTGAAATTCTTGTCTGTGAGTTCCTAGTCCTGCCAGACCTTAACCTGCATCCTAATTTGCATCATTTTCATCAGTCTGAAGTACTTTGCACCCCGAACCCCTCAACATCACAGTAGTACCAGAGACTTCATGTGCCCTGCCCTGATCTCTGGAATTCTATCTCAATATCCTTGTGGTATCGCCATCTGCCTTCAAAAGCCTTTCTCATAGCATATGTATTCAAATATATATTTGGTCACCACTCCATACCACCTAAATCCTGCTTGGTGAGCAATCAGTACTCTGTTTTGATGTAACTTGTGTTCCTTTTCTATATTAAAGTAAAATATGCATGTATTGGTAGTTGCAATGATATTAAAGTTATGTTTCTCAATGCATCTGGCACTGAAGTTAATACTTTCAAGCACGTTTGACACTGAATTAATAGCTCCCAATCTATGTGACATTGAACTAATACCTCCCAGTGCACTGGGCATTGAAGTTAATATCTCCCAACACATGGGCTATTGAGATTAAAGTCAATTAAATTAATTAATTAATTCCATTGTCCCAGTGCAGTGGACTGAAGTTAACTCTGTTTGTGCAATGGAAATCAAAGGTGGTGGCTTGTTCTCAAATCAGTGTCTCCCTGTTTATTAGAACAGAAGTTAATTCATCATCGAGCAATGGGTACTGTGATTAAAACTTTCAGTGTAACAAGGCTTTGTGAGTTAGATGTATCATTCGTCACATCCAGTGGGTTGGGCACAAACTTTTTGGCAATGAGCCTCTTTAACATTTGGTGGCAGCTTAGGTGTACACGTTATGCAGTCACTGCAGGTGAGAAGAATAAAAAAGAAAAAAAGGAAGAGACACAAGAAGTCACAAGGTAAGTAACATGAAGCTTGGGGTTTATTTTAGAAGATCAAAAATATTTAATCAGTTAAAAGCATTCAGGTGGAAATGAGTAGAAGGTGGTACGATAAGACTTTGCTCCAATACCTTGAGGAATCAAGGAGGATTGTGAGGTTAACAGGTAGATAGGCCACTACGTTATACTTCTTATGGGGTTAATATTAAGGTTGGGAGATGTCTCACTCAGTCTTTTTGAGCTTTCAAGGGAAAAGGTTGCAGTGGAGTTGGGGGGTAAAAACAGAAAGAGGAATTGAAATCATTGCTTGGTGGACGATTGCTTGAAGTTGGTGCAGTGAACTCATGAGAACTGGAGGTGATGCGTTGTTGTGTGTGAACAGCTGTGTTACGATGTGGAACTTGCCAGCTAGGAAACACCTGCTTGGTTAGCAGGCAGGAGCCACTTGCCAGGTTGCACTAGTCATTGTCACTGAGACAATACTAGCTTTGCCTTTACAGCACATTATTTAAAAAAAACTGAATGGAATACTTTCTGATGTAAAAGATATTATGTAACCTGTTGTGAATAACCTTTGAGATGTACACGATAGTATACTGCACAAACTAGAGAAGGTAAATCCGTGAAGTATTTTTAGGAAAGGTGCTCAGTGATACACCTTTGTCAAAAACCACTACAGTTTTATTTCCTACTGTTTCATGGGATGTGGACATCGCTAATGAGGCCTGCACTTTTAGCCAATTCCTGATAGCACATGAAATGAGTGACTTCCCAAGCCATTTCAGTGGTAATTAAGAGTCAAACGCATCATCTTGAGCCTGGACTGTCATGTAGGGCTAATCAGATAAAGTTAGCAGAATTTGTTCACATTCACAAACAAGATGAGTTTTCATAACAAGCATGATAGTTGCCATGATTACCAATACTGAAATTATCTTTATGTTCCAGATTTATTATTAATTGCATTTAAATTCCATTGGTGTACTGACCTGGATTCCTGGATTATTAGTCCAGGAATGTTACTATTACCCCACCATCTTCCTATAATATGCAATATGAGTTGCTCAGAGTAGCCCTCTCTGCACTTGTACCATCACTGTATGTAAATGGATTTGGTGCCCCTTGCTATAAGATGCTTACTGTCTGCCTGTTTAATCTTGTTCCTCACAAGCTGTGTATTGATTTTATCATCAACAGCTTGGCTGAGATTAGCGTTTCAGAGTGTATCTCTGGAGACAAGTGCACAACATCTTCAGCACTTTAACTCATAGCATCATTGGTTGGTTTGTCTGGCTTGGTTCCAGAGGATAGAGTGTTGAATGGGTGGAATTGTGCAGTTAGCTGATTGATCAGCTATTGCAGTAGCTGCTGGTTTTGTCAAGGTGAAGAAGCGACTCAGTGCTCCTGAACAAGAATCAGACAAGCAACCTATTACAATGAATCGTGTACATTCATCTGGGGAATTTCAGTTATTGTCAATTTACATATGTACAGTGCAGCCCTTCTATTATGCTGGACAATTGGAATCCCTCTGTGAACTGCTCAATGTATCCCTCTTTGGATAAATGATATGACATTGCATGCGTTACTTAGGGTATCCTTAATTTTGTCTATTACCGGATATTGCATGCCCTCCTCAGGAGATCCCTTATTCTGTACATCAGGTGTAATAGCTTTGTCTATTGTTGGTTAAACTGACAGACCACTTTATCATGATGGTTTTAGACTATTTGCCTTGATGTTTAAGGTTGAGGTAGTTTAAATGTGTCCAGTTCTGATGACCAGGAAGCAAAGCAATCAGTTGATAGATGCAATGAAGAGAAAAGGCATATCTACTGCGAGGGGTCTGATTCCTGTGAAAATGAAGATTATCTTGGTTGCTTCTGTGAGCAAGGAGGAATTAATCAGGTGATCTAGTACAGGTAAATAAGTTAGTTAAAGGATGGAGAAAGTAAAAGCAGAATTTTACATTGC